GAATACTGTTTTTTCTATTTTTTTTTTTTAAATATATTTTATTGATTTTTTACAGAGAGGAAGGTAGAGGGATAGAGAGTTAGAAACATCGATGAGAGAGAACCATCGACCAGCTGCCTCCTGCACATCTCCTACTGGGGATGTGCCCGCAACCCAGGTACATGCCCTTGACCGGAATCGAACCTGGGCACTTTCAGTCCGCAGGCCGACGCTCTATCCACTGAGCCAAACTTTATGCGGTTTCGGCATAAAGTGGAACACTTTAAAGTCTTTGATTTGTTATCATTTTGGCCCAGCATGGGTCTTTCAATCTCCAGGTCTCTGCGCCCGTTATAAGAACACAGGAAGAGCTGTAGGTTTTCTTGGTTGATATCTTGGGCAATATGGAGTCTGTAGGTTTGAATCAGGTCCAGGTTGGCCTGCAGCTCTTCCTGCCCAAAGTGATGAGCCAAAATAATGTCCACAACATTGGTTGTCAAGCCTGAGATTTTGGAAGCTGCCCAGTCAATCCAGCCTTTAGCACAAGGGTCAACGTTAATGAGCACAGGGCCTTCCACAAGCTCTGGATAATTGAGTGCAAATTTGCTGAGGATGTAAGCTCCAGCTCCAACTCCAATCCCAATGATGCTTTTCACACTTAAGTAAGAACAGGAGGAAGCATTTCAGCGAGCTCATCCACTGTGGGGTACTGGTACCCTGTTGGGAAAGAGGGTGCACCTTCCTGTTGGCCTGGGGCATCCACATGACAGACAGCAAAGTGCTGAGTGATCTCTTGCATATCTTCAAAGTTAAAGAACGCATTGAAGCAGGATTTATGATTGAGGCCAATGTCATGATATGTCAGAATAACTGGTCTGTTTCCCTTCGGTAGGCCTCTTATAGTGACGTGGACCATACCATGAGGAGTTTCTATATCATGTTCCTGACAGTCAAAGTCCTGGAAGTTTCGTGTACCATTCTTATCATTTAGAAGTGGTTTGATCTCTGTGAGTTGAACATCCTGGAGTTCATCCATGAGGAAGATGAAAGTAGAGGATTCTCAGAAATAAACCAGTAACTCTTTCAACACAAAGGTTTACAAGATGGACATCTTCAAGTAAACAGGATAGTACCGGAGTTAAAAGATTCGACAGCCTCAAAAATTGTAGCCCTGCCGAAACCGGTTTGGCTCAGTGGATAGAGCGTCGGCCTGCAGACTGAAGGGTCCCAGGTTCGATTCCGGTCAAGGGCATGTACCTGGGTTGCGGGCACATCCCCAGTAGGAGATGTGCAGGAGGCAGCTGATCGATGTTTCTCTCTCATCGATGTTTCTAACTCTCTATCTCTCTCCCTTCCTCTCTGTAAAAAAAAAAGAAAAAAAAATTGTAGCCCTGGCTGGTGTTGCTTGAGCATCATCCCATGTATCAAAAGGTTGCTGGTTCAATTCGTGGTCAGGACACAGAGTTTCTGGCTTGATTCTTGGTTGGAGGGCGTACAGGAGGCAGTCTATCGATGGTCGGCTCTCACATTGATGTTTCTCTTTCTCCCTTTTCCTCTCCCTCTCTGAGGGGCGGGTCCGCCGTCAGTGCAGCAGTGGCAGTAGCGGCGGTGGCGGGCAAGGGGTGGGGGATTATTCTGAATCTATAGTTTCACTAGTCTGAGTTTCCTCAGCTACATTTTTTATTTATTTATTTTTTTAAAGACCACATTACTCCCCTCCTTTTTTTAAAAAAAATATATTTTATTGATTTTTTACAGAGAGGAAGGGAGAGAGATAGAGAGTCAGAAACATCGATGAGAGAGAAACATCGATCAGCTGCCTCCTGCACATCTCCCACTGGGGATGTGCCCGCAACCCAGGTACATGCCCTTGGCCGGAATCGAACCTGGGACCTTTCAGTCCGCAGGCCGACGCTCTATCCACTGAGCCAAACCGGTTTCGGCCATTTTTTAAATTGAGTATAATTGACAGATAAAACTATTTAAAATTATCCTCACTTTTGTTAGAATTTGGGTTTGTAGGCTCATTTGAATGGCTTTTATTTTTGCTTTAGCTCATCTCACTCTGGCCATGCTTTTCCTCTTCCTCTTTTTTTCATTTTACTGACATTTCACGGCCCCTTTCCCCAAACCAGGGCTCATGTTGGTGTGTTAGAGCTCCTGTTCCACAGTAATTTGGGAATATCACCATCCCAGTCACCAACAGTGTGAAGTCTAACCGTCCAGGGCTGTTTGCCCTTTCTTAGACCTCCCTACTTACAAAGGTAAATCCAAGGCCATGTGAGTTAATAGCAGATGGTTTTTGAGCATTTTCAGAGGAGGGCAGACTTTAAGCAGTGAGTTTGACCTCTTCGTCCCTGTGTTTTACGTGGAGCACTGTCAGTGCCTCCTGCCCATAGAACGTGCTCCCAGCGCCTGCTTCTGGACTTGCACCCAACAGGCACCTTACCTCAGCTCTGCAATGCTTTGTTTCCAGTACTTTGATCT